TCAAGAGAAGCTTGAATTTCATTACTAGAAATTGGATAAAGAGTTCTACATTGTTTTGACAACTGACACACTTCGCAAACCAAACTCTGACTCGAAACTCACTTGAACAACTCAGGAAACAATCCTTGCATTGACAAAAAAGGTAAATGACCTAGTCTAGCATGCCACAAATGTAACCTAGCTATTGACTCCTCATTATCCCGACCACTGACAGCAGATGATTGTAAAGCTGAACTGATGTCTGCACCAAAATAGTAGAGACCTCCAGACTCGTGACCGCTCCCAATCGTTCTCTTCGTCAATCTGTCCTGAAAGACACAATGAGTAGAAAAGAAAGTTATGCTACAATTTAAATTCTTGGTAAGTTTAGAAACAGATAAGATATTGGAAGCAAGATTGGGAACATGTARAACAGATTTAAGAGAGAGATCCTTGCTTAGGTCAACCTCCCCTTTCCCAAAGATGGTGGAGAGGGAACCATCAGCAACTCTCATCTTATCTTGACCAGACATCAAGTGATAAGAAGAAAATAAAGAAGACATGTGTATCATGTGGTCAGTAGCACCGGAATCAATAATCCACGAATTAGACTCTATAGGACAAGTTACACTATGAACAGAGACAATACCTGATCTGGCAAGAGAATTGTTCCTTAGATGAGCCATGGCCTAGCTAAGGATTTCTACCTCATCAGCAATGAAATCAAATGACCTGGATGTGCGAGAATTAGTAGTTTGTCCCATAGGAGGAGGTGCAACTGTAGATGTGTGTTCTTTGGGATCTCACTATTGTTGCTTATGACAATGTTCCTGCTTGTTGTTTGACTCCTCTGAGGCTTCTTGTCTTTTCTTAATGAAGCTAGTTTCAAATGAGGATAAAGAATCCAACAAGTCTCTTTCAAATGTATGTCGCCTCCACAATGAGAGCACTTAAGATGTCTCTTGTCTGAATGTTTGCCCCCTTTTTGGGTTGAAAAATTCAAGGCTGAATGCTCAACAGGCTGTACTTGGGTGTCAACTTGCATTTCTTTCCTTCTAACCTCTTCATTCCTTACAAGGTAGTAAACATGATGTAAATCAGGAATTTCATCCCTTCCCAAAATTTGGGATCTTATGCTTTCATACATCGGATCTAGGCCAGCCAAAACTTAAAAGCTCTACCTTCTTCAATTTGGTTATCATGCCTCTCCTAATCTCTTGTATTTTCCCAATCAAGTATAAGATGATGGTCAAGTTCTTACCATAGTCCTTCTAGAGTGGCAAAGTAGGTTGCAACAGACATTTGGCGTATAAATTCTTGCATTGTTCTTTCTCTGTCCATAGGTTTTAGATACCTTCTCCCAATTCTTAGAGGCAATAGGGAAGTGCTAAACAGTCCTAGCCACTCTTGGAGTCATTGAGGCAAGCAGCCAGGACATAACAGTAGCATTTAACATTTTCCTTACGCCAAATTGAGTATTCAGCATTGTCCTCTTTAGGTTCCTTTTTCTATCCATCTAAATAACTCACAAGTTCTCGGGAAGTAATGAAAAGCTTGGCCGAAACAAACCATTCTCTAAAGTTGTCATCATCTAACAACACACCGGTGATCTGCAAGCTATGCAGATTTGGGTTTTCTAGGTTTGAAGACCTCCCACCAGTCCTATTGTCTTTAGAAGACACTTCGCCTGATATGGAGGACATATTCCTTCTCTTACAGAAACCACAGCTGAAATCTCAACACAAGGAACTAGATTTCAGACTTACCAGAACTGTTACAAGGCTGAAGAAACACCCTCTATGACTGCACTGAAGCACTTCTGGGATGAAAGACAACACCACTTGTGGCTGAGAAAATTCTGGACTGTGAACAACACCACCTCTGTACTGAAACCAGCACCCCTTCTGGACTGAAACCAGCACCCTTTCTGGACTGAAACCAGTTCTGGACTCTGAACAACACCACTACTGAAACCAGCACCCCTTCTGGACTGAAACCAGAAACCCTTCTGGAGGCCGAACCTGGACTGTGACCACCCCTACGGTCTGTGCAATCACCCAGACACGAACTAGGACTGTCTACTCAGTCCTTCCACCTAGATCTGTTCTACACAGATCTCTCTAGCAGCCGAATGGATACTCATAAACTTCTGAGAAAAAACTCCCCTTGGGCCCTACAGACAAGAGAAACCCTAGATACAGACCTTTCTGTTGTCTACTGTCAGTCCTAGGGTTTCTTCACTGTAGCAGAAATAAGAGATAATGAAGAAAGATTAGAGGAGAAGAAAAAAAGAGAAAGAAAGCAAGCTGTAACCAGTCAGGCCGAATGGTTCTCTAATACCAGGTTAACTGGAGAACAGCAGTAGATGAGGAAGAAGAAGAGAGGAGAACAGGTCTGAGAATGGGCGGCAATAGTAGTCTCTGCCAGCCCTAGAAGCTAACTTATATATTCACAATAATAGATTACACAAAAGGACTAGAATGCCCCTGATTAGTGATGGGACACCTAGGCATAATAAAGAAAGATAAACAGGATTAGACCCATAATAAACTAAGAAACTTAAACATAAAAGATAAACTAGGCCTACAAACACTTAACCACTCGAACCAACAATTCTTCCCTACTCATTGTGTTTTTTAAGACCTAAAATCTCAAAGGGCGATAGGGAGTGGCCATGAGGCAAATGGAATGTAATTGCTAGATTCACCTGATTGAAGTCTTGGACCACTTAGTGGAGTTACTTTGAAGTCTGTTTCATCAGAGTCAGTTGATGGAGTCATGTTATGTCATTTAAGATTTGGTCATTTTCCTTTTTCTGCTTTGAGTCATTTGTTTAAGGGAATATCCTTGTCGAGTCTTCATTGTGAGTCATGTGAACTTGCAAAACATTGTGGACAGTCTTATTCAATGAGTAATAAAATATTAGTTTTTCCTTCCCATGTTGTGCACTCTAATGTGTGGGGGCCATATCATTTATCTACTATGGGGGGTTACAAGTATTTTATCCTTTTCATTGATGATTTTTCTCGCTATACTTGGATTTACCTTATGAGGCCCCAGGATGAAGTGCCAACTATTGTGCAAAAATTCCATGAACTTATTCTTACCCAGCTTAATACTCGGATCAAAACTTTCCGATCTGATATAGCTAAGGAATATTTTAAGAAGAACCTTACATCCTACTTTGATACCTTTGGGGTTATACATTAGAGTTCTTGTTCTTACACTCCACAATAGAATGGAGTGGCGGAAAGGAAGAACCGTTATGTGGTTGAAGACTTGAAGTTGTTAGAAGCTTCCTTTTTGCTCCTCATGTTCTTGTTAAGTTTTGGGGGGATGTTGTTCTTACAACTACATACCTGATAAACCGTATGCGATATGCCTTCTCGGGTTCTGGGATTTAAAACCCCCTTTAGCCTCCTCTTTCCAGATCAAGATTTCTTTTCTCTTCCTCTCCAAGTTTTTGGCTGAACTTGCTATGTTCATATTCACAGTCATCAGAGACATAAATTTGAGCCTAAAGCACACAAGTGTCTTCCTAGGATATGCCTCCACACAGAAGGGATATTGCTGTTTTGATCCAGTTCGTGGCACTCGCTTTGTGTCCAAGGATGTCACATTTGCAGAGTCCATCCCATTCTCTGGTACTTCTCCTAAGGGGGGGAGGCATTCAAAGTGAGTTATTTGCTATGAACAGAGGAGACTGGTTTAGGGTTGATCAAAACAGTCCCAAAAAAATAACCATTGAGAAAAAGGAACATTAAGATCTGATAGTCGAGAAATCTAGGAAGAAAATCACAGAGAAACCTGCTCTCAATGAGTTGACCCAACCCAGAAAACGATATATATATTAAAAGGACAAAAGGACAAAACTGTCCTTACAAAGATAAAATACAATAAAGTACAATGCCGACCAGTGTACACACCACACTAATATACAATAGAATACAAAAAGACAACTACCCTCCTCTCTACACACTTCATGAGCAGATCTCCCAGGTATGATAAAGAGGAGTTGTGGTCTAAAGAATCAAAGAACATAACAAAAACAGGTTCAAACAGACTCACCTATTCCATGCAAGGGCTTCTAATCACAGCAACATGAAACCTAAGTCTTACAAAGCCCAAAAAAATACCTTTGTAGGGCTGGGCTGCAAATATCATAAGGAAGAACATTATTGAGACTTCAATACTGCATAGAAACTGAGGAAATCATTTCTTATGGTTTTAGTAAAGTCATTTGAATCCAAGCCAGCCAATTTCACAGAAAAATCACATCTTGGACCCAACACTCCAAAACATCAAAACAATATTTTCCTCAATTTTTCAAAAAAGAGTACATGAATATTACGACTGATTCAAACACAGTTGAAACTTACATGAAAATTCTTCAAAATCATGCTTGACTAGGATCTAGGGTTTTCTCCACCAATGGGTATAGCCAATTGTATGCCTATCAACATCAACAGCCAACTATTTCCCTCCTGATTAACAATTGACTAAAATACTGTTACCATAAAGATGATAATGTAAGATCTCAACACTCTCCTCACCCTAATTCATGTAAATAAATTCATCCCAGGACATCTTGCAACGTGCCAAGAGGAAAATGTCAGTGTCTCTGTGCGATGGTTGTACAGAGGATCTGATGTTTACTCTTTCTTACTAATATAATTCAGTAGTGATTTTTCATAGAATTGGTTTTGTAAGTTTTTTTTATTTTTATTTTCCAGCTCATCCATATTACTGTTTTTGGTAGAAAGATTCATTCACATTACCATAACATAATTTCAGCAATGCCTCCATTTCCTTTAGAACATTTAGCAAGCCTAAGCACCTTATTGTTAACAACCAAGCCCCAACTATGTAGTTCCAACTGTTGTAATCTTCATTATACAACTTAAGCTTTCCAATCATCAGATAAAATCTCACTGCTGTTCCCGGATTTTTTTTTATGATGTGGATTATTAGGATCAATAAGGCCTGCACTATGCCATTTGACATGTGGATTTTGCTTGCAGTTGCCTCGTTATATACTAGATACTCATTTGAATACATTAACAAGCCGAATGAAGAAAGTCTCGTTAGACTTTTCTCCTCTGGTAAGTTCAATCCTATTTTCAAAAATTTATTACTTCAGGTAGTCACAAACTTTTGAGTACTATTTTGAACTTGTTACCAAATAAATCCTTTTTTTCACCAATTGTGTTATAAATTTTATATATGCACCAATTGTGACTGGACATTGTAGATTACCCCTGTATGTTTGATGTAGAAACCACTGATGTGGTCCCCACCTCTTCCTATTGTACTCGTATACAACTACTATGTGGTCCCCACCTCTTTCTATTGTACTCGTATACAACTACTAGTTATTCAAGTGTCAGTCCACAATTAGTTGTTAGTCTTTTATTAGGACTTTAATTGTTGTCTTTTATTAGGATTTTAATTTTGCCATGTAAGCAGTCTTATCCTTACTTCAGAATTAATATAAATAGAAAGAGGGGGGC